CAGCTCCTGCCAACCTAGCAGTTCGAAAGCAAGAAATTGCAAGTAGATAAATAGGTACCACTTTGGTGGGAAGGTAACAGCGTTCCGTGCGCCTTGGTGTTTAGTCGTGCCGGCCACATGACCACGGAAACATCTTTGGACAGCGCTGGCTCTTCGGCTTTGAAACGGAGATGAGCACCGCAACCCTAGAGTTGGATTCGACTGGCTTTCGAGCAAGGGAACCTTTACCTATATTACCCAGAGCCCTATGATAGCAGGGATGGGGGCGATTCATAAATTTAATAAATAAATAAAAATAAAATAAGTAAATGTTTCTGCAGGTAGTGCTGTTAAGGGGGGCAAGGTGAGTCCGACTCTATGAGTCGATTCTAACGTGTTTAGGAGCACAGTGCCGAGTTGAGAGGGGGTAGTGTCCAGGGTTCCCTCTAAGCTGAGTCAGTGTGAGCTAGCTCACAGTTTTTTTTAGCCTCCGGTTGGCCTGTTTTTGTCTTAGCTCAGGAAGGACGGCTCCAGAGCCAACTTTATGCAGCAGCCAAATCGCTCGCTCCCAACTCTATTGCCAGGAGCTCACAAAGTAGAATTTTTGCTCACAAGACTCCACAGCTTAGAGGGAGCCTTGGTAGTGTCATTCTTTTGTTGCCAATGTTCCTTCTTCCCCTTTTCGGCAGCTGAACCACAAACCCCGGAGCCTGTCCAGCAGTCAGCTGAAACGCCTGGCCTCCCTGGTGGACCTCCAGCGCCTTTGGCATAGCTACCTGCAGCCCATACTGATTGAGAGGTACCCGGGCAGCAGCGGGAGCAAACAAGTGCGGCAGGTGAGTTCGGGGGTCTGTGTCCACCGGGGGACCTCCCACCTGACCACCAGCCAAAGTGGCTGCCTGGAAAATATACCGGAAATTTTACATCTCTACTCTCTCCTTTGGCACATCTCTCTCAACCTTCTACACAAACCAATTTCTCCACAATCTGGCTGCCGACACTAGAATACCTTAAACCACAGGGTGAAATTCCACAAATGGTTGTTGACCTCGGCTTTTGACTGCTGTTAGAGTAAAGACATAGAGTTTTGATTAGATCAGTTTTGCACATTGATGCGTAACATTCTTCGGTTCAGTTATGTTTAAATATGTTACCATACTTCCTTGATTTTGCTGACAGTTTGTATTTTACTGCATGGAATTTCAGTGCAGGGTTTGTGTTGAAAACTGTTAAAAAGTTAATAAAATATAAATCGGGGGTGGGGGGATTTTCAAAAATTAATTGGCATTTATATGGTGCGCTTCCGGTGCTTTACAAGCCTTGTTTAAATAATCCCTGCCACAGCCCTGCAGGACAGGGCCCTGCTTTGACTCCATGCTGTAGATTGGAGGTTGGAGAGAAAGACCTTCCAGACTACAGCTCTTTCTCTAAACCAGGAGTCCCCAACACGGTGCCCGTTTTATTCTCTCTTGCATGGTTTTGCATGGTTTTTATTCTCACGCTCCTCTTTCCCAGTGAATTCCCTCCTCCCCGCATTTGGGCTTTCACTCTCTCTGTATGTGGCTTTGCCCGCCACCCTGTGTCCAAATTCCAGCGGTGCCCCGAGACACAAAAAAACTTGGGGACCCCTTGCTGCAAGCCACAGGGGGATTTTGTATCTCAGCCGAGATTTTAACCAGGCACAGCAAACAGCTTGAGGTTTCTTTCTGTCCCAAATCCTTTCCCATTCTGCAACACATAACAAAAGACAACGTAATCGTAAGAACTCGGTGAGGGGTTAGGGGCTTGTGTGGACGCCTTATTTATTTATTTTTGAACTTATATTCCGCCCTCCCCACAAGAGGGCTCAGGGCGGATCACAAAGTCATTCGGCTTCATAATATGAATACATTCGTGGACAGTTTAAAAACAGTTAGAACAGGGGTGTCGAACTCATTTGTTACTAGGGCCGGATCTGACATTGTAACAATTCCTTGTTTTATTTGTTTGTGTGTGTGTCTTTAAAAGTTTGGTTGCATGGCGGTGAGAGATAGTCTAGGGTGGCTGAAACAGGCAAGTGGTGTGATTGGTGATTGGCAGAAAGGGGGAGGGGTTTTAGAAAATGTGTGTCAGTCGAGAGTTACAGTTTAGACAGTTGATAAAGACAGTTAGGGAGTTAGTTAAGTGCTGTGTATGAGAGGAGTGAGACACATCCCTGTGTGGGATAAGTTAGTTCTGAAGTCTGAGAGAGAGACAGTATGGTGTGTGATACAAGAGTTAAGTTTTGTGTGTGAAGAAAAGTTGAAAGTATAAGGAAACAAGAAAGTAAAGTTAAAGAGAAAAATAAAAAGTCTGAGTGACAGATGGGAATGAAATAGGAAACCTATATGACCCTGAGTAATGAGTTACAAAGTTACATGCCAAAATCCCTGACAGTGTGAGAGAAAAGTGTGAGAAAAACCAGTTGGGATTGTTCAGTATTTACCCATTCATAGATACAGAGTACTATCCTGTTATGTACGAATTATATCAATAAATCTTTTATTTAAGTCTGCCAGCTCTGAAAGACATACTTCCTCCGGAAACACATAGACCCTCATGAAAGCCTAAAACCTCGACCTACCTACCCAGTGATAGAAATATTATATTATAAAGGTTTGGAAAGCCTTAAAATTTCCTGGTGGCAGCCAGATATACACAGTAAAGCAAAACATAAAGAACATTTTAAAGTAAAACCAAACCTCCCCAGTTAAGGGGTCGTCACAGACATAAATGAGACCTTGTTGGGCCCGGGCCATGTGTGTCATAAAATGTAATGCCAGGTAGCGGAGATATAAACTTTATAAAGGACACAAACAGAAAGGTTTTTTTTTTTACTTAAAATAAAAACATGCTTAAAACATTAGCTGCGTAAGCTGCAAACCTACTTTTGATTTATTGACATTCACCACAGAAATCCCACGCTCAGAGTTCTGAGTCTAGGACCCAGGTTAAAACATGAGATGGCGGAGTGATTAAGAGAGTCTGGCGAAGCAAGCGATGATGCTGCAGCAGCAGCAAAACTGGAAGCAGGAGATGGGCAGTTCCACTGCGGGCCTGATGGAAGCCCTCCGGGGGTCTGATCTGGCCTTCGGGCCGCATGTTTGACACCCCTGAGTTAGAACAACAATTTACAAACGACAATTTAAAAGCAGATTGCACGCACAATTTTCAGAGCTGGTACCGCTAGGTCTCTAAGATTTATTTGCTCTGGGCCACATCGACCTGGTGAACTTCAGCAGGGGAGGTCAGCTTTTCACTGGGCGCCCACCACCTCAGCCAAAGGCCTGGCAGAAGAGCTCCGTTTTACGGGCCCTGCAGAGCGGTAATAGACCCTTGGTTCCTCACGCTGCACCCCCTTCTTCCCTCCTCTAGTTCATCACAGAACGCCTGAAAGGGCTAGGCGCTTCCTGGCAGGTAGAGCTGGACTCCTTCGAGGACCGGACCCCGCGTGGCACCGTGAGCTTCGCCAACGTGGTGGCCACTCTGGACCCCACTGCCTCCCGGCGCCTGGTGCTGGCCTGCCACTACGACTCCAAGTATATCCCGCACGACAGGCGTGGCCGGGCTTTCCTGGGGGCCACGGACTCAGCTGTGCCCTGCGCGATTCTGCTGGAGCTGGTGACCGCCCTGGACCAGGAGCTGCTACGGTCCAAAGAACAGGTGAGGAAGGAAGGAGGTCAGTGTTCCCTCTAAGCTAAGTTAGTGTGAGCTAGTTCGCAGTTTTTTAGCCTCCGGCTCACACATCTCTTGTCTTCGCTCAGGGATGACGGCTCCAGAACAAACTAATCTATGCAGCAGCCAAATGGCTCGCTCACAACTTTAATGCCAGCAGCTCACAAAGTAGAATTTTTGCTCACAAGACTCCACAGCTTAGAGGGAACATTGGTGGCCAGTGCTCCCGTTAAGCTAAGTTAGCGTGAGCTAGTTCGCAGTTTTTTAGCCTCCGGCTGACACATTTTTGCCTTCGCTCAGGGAGGAGGACTCCAGAGCAAACGAATCGATGCAGCAGCCAAATCGCACGCTCACAACTTTAATGCCAGCAGCTCACAAAGTAGAATTTTTGCTCACAAGACTCCACTGCTTAGAAGGAGCATTGGTGGACAGTGGGAGGGGCTTCTAGAGTTCTGGACCTCCTGATGGCCCCTGGGTTTTGGCCACTGTGGACACTGAGTGTGGGACTGGATGGCTTAATCCAACATTGGCTTAATCAGATAATCACAGAATAAAAGATTTGGAAGGGACCTCAAGGGTCATCTAGTCCAACCCCCTGCACAATGCAGGAAATTCAGAAATACTGTCTCCCCCCCCCCCCCCCCCCTCCGTCCCCCCCCCCCCCCCCGTGACCCCTGTTCCAAACCAAGAAGATGACAAAAAACCCCTCCAGGATCTCCAGCCAAACTGGCCTTGAGAAAAACGGCTTCCTGACCCCAAAGTGGCGATCAGCATTTCCCTGGGCGTGCAAGAAAGGGCCATGAGAACTAAGCATTGAGGCAACCCTCCCTGCCCTCCCTTCTCATGATCTGCCTCCGTTCACAGAATCTTGTGCTTCTCTTGTGTTCTGTTATGAGTCACACTGGCTAGCATGGATCCCACCGCGCCCACATTGGTCACATGACTCCACAGCTTCGAGGGGGCATTGCTTGATGGTGGCGCTGAGAAGATGGAAACGCTCCTTGGTCGGCAAGAGGCAAGATGGATCACATCAATGGTCCATTCTGTCTGGCATCCTTTCCCACCTAGCAACCAACCATTTGACCTCTGGAAGGACCACAGGCGGCAAACACAGACCACAGCCCCTCCCCCGTTGTCGCTGCCCAGCCAGGGCTATTTTGGGGCAGGAACGCACAGGAACGGAGTTCCGGCTGGCTCCCGAGATGGCCACGCCCAGCAGGAACTCATTAGGCTGCAGAAACTTATTAGGATTGGCTACATTAGGGGTGTGTGGCCTAACATGCAAAGGTGTTCTTGCTACAAAAAAAAAAAGGCCCTGGGTTTTGACAACAAACAAGGTAAACAGAATAAGAAGCAAAAGGTGGGTGTGGCTGGATGAGCACACTTCTGGTAACGTGGGGGTGCGGCCTAATAAGCTGTGCTGTCAGGGGTGTGGCCTAATATGCTACTGAGTTCCTGCTGTTGGGTGTGGCCTATTATGCTAATGAGTTCCTGCTGGGCTTTTTCTACAAAAAGAGCCCTGTGCCCAGCTATTGGTATTCTGATATTTTACTAACTCTGAATGTGGAGGCTCTACTTCAGGGGTCCCCAACGTCGAGCCCGTGGGTGCCCTGGCACCCGCTGCCACCTTTCCTAGTGCCCACCAAGTGTTTTTAGACAGTGAGTGGAGCCAGATGGGGCTTCTGAACAGCTAGGCTTTGGATTCACCTCTGGAGACCTGATGGGCTGTGCCGTTTGTAAAAACATTGATTGCTGTGGGCGCCGGTACCACCACAGCACAAAGGTCTTCACTGTGGGACAGACAGTAAGCTGAGGAAACTGTTGTGTGGCTGGCTCCGACTTCTGCGGCAGCCATTTTGCAGCCGCACCCATCATGCTGTGTCAGAATTCCAAAGGTGCTGCCCACAGGCTGACAAAGGGTGGCGACCCCTGCTCTATTTCGTCCTCACCACTGTTAGCCATTGGTGGACTTCTCCTCCCACTGGCCCCACTGGTGGACCTGCTGACGGCCCCTGGTATTTTTGGCCACTGTGTGACACAGTGTTGGACTGGATAGGCCATTGGCCTGATCCAACATTGGCTTCTTTTACGTTCTTATGACTGGGGCAGTGATGTTCTGTATTCTTGGTGCTTTGGGGGGGGGGGCAACAGTGGTGTCCTGGCCCCACTGATGGACCTCCTGACGGCCCCTGGTATTTCTGGCCACTGTGTGACACAGAGTATTGGACTGGATGGGCCATTGGCCTGATCCAACATTGGCTTCTCTTACGTTCTTATGGATAAACATCTGGAGCAGAGGTCCATCCGTGGCTATTAGCCACAAGGTATAGACAGGAACTCTCGGGCAAGGGATCCTCTGTCTTCTTGGTGCTTGGGGGTGGGGCAACAGTGGGAGGGCTTCTGGAGTTCTGGCCCCACTGCTGGACCACCTGATGGCCCCTGGTATTTTTGGCCACTGTGTGACACAGAGTGTTGGACTGGATGGGCAGTTGGCCTGATCCAGCATTGGCTTCTCTTATGTTCTTAGGTTCCTCCCGTGGCTTTTGGTGGTCTCGAGAGCAATGTTCCCTCTAAGGTGTGGAGTCTTGTGAGCAAAAATTCTACTTTGTGAGCTACTGGCATGAAAGTTGTGAGCGATCTGTTTGGCTACTGCATACTTTAGTTTGCTTTGGAGCCATCCTTCCTGAGCTAAGACAAAAATGTGTGAGCCGGAGGCTAAAAGGCTGTGAGCTAGCTCACGCTAACTCAGCTTAGAGGGAACACTGCTCGAGAGATATGAACGATCCTGCTGTTGTGTTTTAGGGTTCCGAGGTGTCTCTGCAGCTGCTGTTCCTTGATGGGGAAGAGGCCTTCGAGGAGTGGAGTGACACGGACTCCTTGTACGGGGCACGGCATCTGGCAGAACGCATGGCCAAGACCGCGCTCCGCCCAGGCGTCACTCAGCTGCAGGCGATGGTGAGTGTTCTTCTGAAACCATCAAGCGTGAGATCTGGCCTGGTCTACGTAACAAGCTGAATCCGGCGGTTCAAGTTTGTTTCCCCGTCTGCCTCCTCCTGTTCATCCCTTTTCTCCACAGTCTGCCAAGTTTCAAGTGACTCCATTGATCTGAAGCAGGGGTCCCCAACACGGTGCCCACCCGGTGTTTTTACAAAGTGGGTGGGGCCTGGTGGAGACCCGATGGGCTGTGCAGATTAAACTAGGGACAAAACGGGAACAAACTTAACCCTGAAACCTGGGATCAGGAATCTAAAGATGTAAGTCAAACAGAGTAGAGGGCCACCAATTAAGACTTAATGTATATAATATAAAATACATTCATTTATATTTATTTATAGATTAAATTTATACCACGCCCTCCCTGCTACGCGGGATCAGGGCAGCTTACAATCCGGCATAAGCCAGTATCAAATATAAAACATTTTTAAAACCATTTAAAAACTCTACAATAACATTATTATTAACAAAAGTGCTCTGTTCTTCCACAAGATGGCATATTGCAACTGCCCCGCCAACTCAGGGTCCTCTGCTCCGGGAAACACTGGTGTTCTCTCGTCCAGGGCAGACAGATGGTAACAGTCGTGGCGGCTCCTACTCAAACGGCTGGCGGAAGAGCTCTGTCTTGCAGGCCCTGCGGATCTGTGCAAGGTCCCGCAGGGCCCAGATCTCCTCCAGGAGCTCGTTCCACCAGGTAGGAGCCGCCACCGAAAACGCCCTGGCATTTATTAGTAAAGAATTTACTAGTAAAGAATTAAAAAACCTATATTTATGTATTTATATGATACATAAATATATATGTATTTATTAGTAAAGAATTAAAAAACCTACAAGGGCCCAATCACACCTCATATACAAATACCAAAATCATACACACATCATACACACAAGGGCCAATGGACTTGACCTGACACGTTTCGGCCTGTTTAGGCCTGCTTCAGGGGTCAAACACAATGAGGAACAGATTGTCTTATAACATAATACAATACAGTTATACAACATAGATACAAAATGGACCAGATTAATCTACGCGGATTAAAACCACATCATAGTGGGACTCTCAAGGGGGAAATGAAGTTTTCAGTCTGTCTACTGAAAACTCACGAATTGTTAAATGTTTTCAAAAGAACGTTGTTGAAGAGGTTCCAGAACTCCGTTCTAGTGCATTCCCCCAGAAAACAAATCCTGGTTTTATTCTCTCTCACCTTCCTCTTTGCAGTGTATTCCTTCCGCGCACACACACGGGCTTCCTCTGTGTGTATGTGTTTGGCTCTGCCTCCTGCTGCAGCCATTTTGTAGTTGCGCCCACCACCCTGGGTCAGTATTGCAGTGGGGCCCTGAGGCTCAAAAAGGTTGGGGATCCCTGATCAGAGGAAATTTATTTATTTATATGCTTATCTGCCGTTCCCCTCAGACGTGTCTTGCAACACTAAGTCTGTGCTATACCAGTTCTGGTTGTCTGCTTCTCCACCCAATGCCTACATTTCCTGCACCTAGAAAATAAGCAGCCCTTCCGCCGCACTGCAGGGTAAATTTGCTCAAGTTCCAGTGCATGAACATCTATGCCCATGTATGGCTGGTATGGGGGCTGCGGTGGCTCAAGTGGTTAAGACGCTAAACTGCAGATTGGAAGGTTGGTAGTTCAGCAGTTCAATACCCGAGTGCCGCAAGATGGAGTGGGCTTCCGTCTCTGGTCCCAGCTCCTGCCAACCTAGCAGTTTGAAAGCAAGAAATTGCAAGTAGATAAATAGGTACCACTTCGGTGGGAAGGGAACAGCGTTCCCTGTGCCTTGGCGTCTAATCATGCCGGCCACATGACCACGGAGAAGTCTTCGGACAGCGCTGGCTCTTTGGCTTGGAAACGGAGATGAGCACCCTATCCCTAGAGTCGGATTCAACTGGCTTTTGAGCAAGGGAAACCTTTACCTATGGCTGGTATTGTGGAATCAGTTATTCTCCTGTTTTGTAAATTCCATCAAGAGGAATGAAATTACCTTATATTACCTCTTTTGTCCAGATTTAACCCTCTGCAGTCCTATCTTGACTTCAGGCTTGAAGTCCTGCACAATTTTTTTTGGAAGATACTCAGAGTTCAGTGACTTATGCGGTGGCCAAATTTGGTTTCTTAGCTATTAGTAAATGTAAACTTATCTTAGCTGGAAAAAAACTATGATATTTTCCCCTACTGCTTTTTTACCAATGTTATTAATCCATTCTTATCAATGTTTTTATATTATTACGTTATTATAGTTTTAACCTCCTTTACATCAGAACTGTATTGTTTTACTGGCTTTTGCTGTAATGAATTACGGAAAAATTAGCAACAAGGGAAGTTCTAGGTAAAGGTAAAGGTTTCCCTAGCTCGAAAGCCAGTCGAATCCTACTCTAGGGTGCGGTGCTCATATCCGTTTCCAAGCCAAAGAGCCAGCACTGTCCGAAGACGTTTCCGTGGTCATGTGGCCGGCATGACTAGACGCCGAGGTGCACGGACCGCTGTCACCTTCCCACCAAAGTGGTACCTATTTATCTACTTGCAATTTCTTGCTTTCAAACTGCTAAGTTGGCAGGAGCTGGAGCCAGAGGCAGGAGCTCACTCCGTCATGCAGCACTCGGGTCTCAAACTGCTGAACTACTGACCTTCCGGTCTGCAGTTCAGCGTCTTAACCACTGAGCCACCGCAGGGAAGTTCTGGTCCCGCCTTTTTCCCCTGACATGCTATCTTTCTATAAGCAAAGAATTGCCCTCCCCCGAAACGGGGGAGCGTTTCATATTTTAGACCTCCGCTTGCAGTCCTGGAAAGTCGTACAGACCAGGCACCACCGTATAATCAAGTCTGCTTGGCAGGATCTTGTTCCTCTGTTTATTTGCCAGCCCTCTCCCCACCCCCCACCCCGCCCCGATGGAAGTGACGCTAGAGAAGGAAGTGGTGGATTCGAAAAGCCCTCTTTTCTTCTTTACAGGATCTGTTTGTTCTGCTGGACCTTCTTGGGGCAGACCATCTGAACATCCAGAACCATTTTTTGAACACTGCCAGTTGGTTCGAAAGACTGGTTGGCATTGGTGAGTTCCCAGACCAAAGTGCGGAAGCTGCGAAGCGTGGAAGGGAGCCAGGGGAGTGGTTAAGAGTGTCGGACCAGGATCTGGGAGGCACGAGTTCGAATCACTGCTCTGCCATGGAAGCTCACTCGTGGGCCACTCACAGTCTCTTGGCCTGACTTGCCTCGCACGATTGTTGTGAGGATACAATAGAGCAGGGGTGTCAAACTCATTTGTTATGAGGGCCGGATCTGACATAAAAGAGACCTTGTTGGGCCGGGCCACGCGTATCATAAAAGGTAATGCCAGGAAGCGGAGATATAAACTTTATAAACGACACAAACACAAAGGGGTTTTTTTTTAACTTAAAATAAAAACATGCTTAAAGCATTAGCTCTGTGAGCTGCAAAACTGCTTTGGATTTATCGACATTCAGCACAGAAATCTCATGCTCAGAGTTCTGAGTCTAGGACCCAGGTTAAAACATGGAATGGCTGAGTGATTGAGAGAGTCTGGCGAAGCAAGGTATGATGCAGCAGCAGCAGCAGCAGAACTGGAAGCAGGAGACGGCCAGTTCCACGGCGGGCCTCATGGGAGCCTTCCGGAGGCCTGACCCAGCCCCAGGGCCGCATGTTCGACACCCCTGCAATAGAGGAGACAGAAAGGATGTTAAGCCATTTTGGGGGGATAAGTGGGGTATAGATGCGGTAAATAAATAAATCTGATTGCCCAGAATCGATGGAGTTCGTGCGGTGAGGCCCGAGTTCAAATCCTGACCAGTGTTCCCTCTAAGCTGAGCTAGTGTGAGCTAGCTCACAGTTTTTTAGCCTCCGGCTCACACATTTTTGTCTCAGCTCAGGAAGGAGGGCTCCAGAGCAAACTAATTTATGCAGCAGCCAAATCGCTCGCTCACAGCTTCGATGCCAGCAGCTCACAAGGTAAAAATTTTGCTCACGAGACTCCACAGCTTACAGGGAACATTGATCTTGACTCCTCCACAAAGCTCACGCGGGGCCACAGTCGTGGGCCAATCGGCTTCTCTCTGCCTAACCCACTTCCTGGGTTTGCGAAGATAAGATGGAGGAGGAAGAGGAGGAGGAGATTGGACCTATACCCCGCCCTTCACTACCCAAAGCAGTCTCAGAGCGGCTTACAAACTCCTTTCCCTTCCCCTCCCCACAACAGGCACCCTGTGAGGTAGGGTAGGTGGGGCTGCGAGAGCTCTGACAGAAACGGCTCTTTTTCAAGAACAGCTCTTATCAGAACTACAGTTTGGAAGGAGGAAAGGAGAACTGCAGAAGCTGCCCAGAGCTACTTGGAGCAGGAGTAGGATAAAAACATGACATATGGGATATACCCTGAAGCAGCTGCCCAAAGCCTGGGCCTACCCGTGGCTTCAGAAGTATTTCACCAAGGACTTCCTTCCCCTTTCAAGCTTCAGGTGTTGGGCTCTAGTCAGACCCAGAACTGAGGGGATCATTCCTCACCTGAGCAGGTGGCAACAGCCAGTCCCTGCAGGGTCTCGATTCTGAAAGGCCCAACCGTGTTTTCTCGCAAGCCAGGCAAAATCTCACCAGGACATGAAAGTCTTGCATAGTCTGTAGAGGCCTAGAGGAGCCAGTGGGGTTGACGCATGCCAAAGCCTTTTAAAAATGTTTCTTAGAATCATGGAATCATAGAGTTGGAAGGGGCATCCCGGGGCATCTAGTCCAACCCCCGGCACAAGGCAGGAAATTCACAAATGCCTCCCTCCCACCACACCCCCAGTGACCTCTGTTCCATGCCCAGAAGATGACCAAAAACCTGCAGGATCTCCAGCCAAACTGTCCTGGAGGAAAATTGCTTCCTGATTCCAAAGTGGTGATCAACATTTCCCTGGGTGTGTAAGAAAGGGCCACGAGAACTAAGCACTGATGCAGCCGCCCTCCGTCTCATAAGAACATAAGAGAAGCCAATGCTGGATCAGGCCAGTGGCCCATCCAGTCCAACACTCTGTCACACAGTGGCCAAAAATACCAAGGGCCATCAGGAGGTCCACCAGTGGGGCCAGGACACTAGAAGCCCTCCCACTGTTGCCCCCCCCCCCAGCACCAAGAAGACAGAGCATCACTTGCCCCAGAGTCCCTATCTATACCTTGCGGCTAAGAGCCACTGATGGACCTCTGCTCCATATGTTTATCCAATTCCCTCTTGAAGCCGTCCATGATCTGCGTCAGTTCACAGAATCGGCATGTCTGTCCGGTGGCCATCCAGCCTCTGCTTGAAAATCTCTGAAAAAGGAGAACTCACTAACTCCCGAGGAAGCCCACCGAGGAATCACTCTCACTTTCAGGAATAAGGCTTGGCAATTCTTTGCAGCCAAGGACACC